TCAAAGAACCCCAATAATTCAATTTTTGATGAAATCAAACAAAGTTTAATTTTGGACCCTTTGGACCTCAATGTGGACCAATTTAAAAACGGGGCCCAAAATCCAAAAACTAAATACACGGTTAGATTCAGCATATTAAAAAACCCCAAGAATTCAAGAATAAAACCCCATTGAAATTGGTCAAGAAATAAGCAATTTATACCAAGTATCTTCTTTTGCACAATACTGTGCAATTAAATATTTCTTGCTATTGCGCAATACTGTACAATTGACAATTTCTTGCTATTGCGCAATATTGTGCTATTGGATATTTCTTGCTATTGCGCAATACTGTGCAATTGAAGATTTCTTGCTATTGCGCAATACTGTGCAATTGAAGATTTCTTGCTATTGTGCAATACTGTGCAATTGAAAATTTCTTGCTATTGCACAATACTTATTTTATAATAATTTACAGATCCTGTTTGGTGTGTATCTCCTACCATATCATTATTATTTGCTTTTAAATATAAATCAGAAATAACCAACTTAAAATGGAAAATTTTAAAAGAAACAAAAAAGGAAAAAAAGAAAAAAAAGGAAAAAAAAATAAATCCCCCCCCAAATTTTTTGAACATCACCCCCAAACTCAATCCCAGCCTTCCCTTTGTGGTATGGTACCTTGCAGTACAATTTCAGAGAGATCCATACACTTGAACACAAGTTATTGTCTGGAAACTAGAAAAATGTGTTTTTTGGCCCCTTTTTGGCCCCAAATTCCTAAACGTTTAGGGCAATTACCCCAAACTCAAACCCAGCTTTCCATTTGTGATATGGAAACTTGTATTACAATTTCAGAAAGATCCATACACTTACACACAAGTTATTGTCATGAAACTAGAAAAATGCTTGTTTTTGGCCCCTTTTTGGCCCCTAATTCCTAAAATATTGAGGCAATTACCCCCATCATCAATCCCAGCCTTTCCTTTGTGGTATGGTACCTTGCAGTACAATTTCAGAGAGATCCATACACTTGAACACAAGTTATTGTCTGGAAACTAGAAATTGTGTTTTTTGGCCCCTTTTTGGCCCCCAATTCCTAAACGTTTCGGCAATTACCCCCAAACTCAATTCCAGCTTTCCCTTTGTGATATGGAACCTTGTAGTACAATTTCAGAAAGATCCATACACTTACACACAAGTTATTGTCATGAAACTAGGAAAATGCTTGTTTTTTGCCCCTTTTTTGGCCCCTAATTCCTAAAATTTTGAGGCAATTATCCCCAAAATCAATCCCAGCATTCCTTTAGTGATATGGAACCTTGTGGTACAATGTCAGAGAGATCCATACACTAACACACAAGTTATGTCTGGAAGTTACAAAAATGCTTATTTTTGGCCCCTTTTTCCTTTACTGTTGGTACCATAACCCCCAAAATCAATCCCAACCTTCCTTTTGTGGTATTGAACCTTGTGGTAAAATTTCATAAAGATCCATTCACTTAAACTAAAGTTAGAGTGTGAAAACCAATGTGTCTTCGGACGACGCCGGACGACGACGACGACGATGCCAACGTCATACCAATATACGACCACAAAAATTTTTTTGCAGTCGTATAAAAACGCAAAAAATTGGTAAAAGTTGTCATCAAAGAGCAATAACTCTTAAAAGGAGTAGACTGACGATTTCGACCATTGGACTTATTTGTAGAACTTGTCTTGCTGATCATTTTCGGAATTTAACGTTTCTCTCTATCTATTATACTTTTCAAGAAGATACGCAAAAATGAAAAAAAATGGTAAAATTTGTCATTTAAGGGCAATAACTCCTGTAAGAAGTCGTCTGACAGTTTTGATGTCAATGAACAATTGGTAGAGTTCAACATTCTGCACATTTCTCGTCAGATTTTCTCTATTTATAACGATTTTTAAAATAAAAGACAAAACTTGCATTTTACCCCTATGATCTATTTTTAGCCATGTCGGCCATCTTGGTTGGCAAGTGAGGTCATCTGACACATTTTTAAAACTAAATACCCCAATAATGATTGTGGCCAAGTTTGGTTAAATCTGGCCCAGTACAAAAATGTAGTTTCAGAGGAGAAGATTTTTGTAAAAGTTAATCGACGACAACGACGGACGACGATGATGACGGACGACGACAGACGCCAAGTAATGAGATAACTTGGCATTTTGGGCCATGTGAGCAAAAAATGGTAAAATTAATCATTTCAAGGCATTAACTCCTATAAAAAGTCGTCTGACAGTTTTGACATCAATAGACAATTGGTAAAACTCAACATTCTAAACATTTTTGCCCTTTTAGCTTTTCTCTATTTACAATGGTTTTCAAAATAATAGACAAAACTTGCATATTACCCCTATGTTCTATTTTTACCCATGTCGGCCATCTTGGTCAGCAGGCGTGGTTATCAGACACATTTTTTAAACTAGATACCCCAATGATGATTGTGGCCAAGTTTAGTTAAATTTGGCCCAGTAGTTTCAAAGGAGAAGATTTTTGTAAAAGTTAACAGACGATGACGACAGACTCCAAGTGATGAAAAAAGCCCATTGGGCCAGGTGAGCTAAAAACGTGGAGAAATGCTCTTTTTTAGACTACCTACATCAAATTTATTTTACTTTCTAACCTATAGTTTGTATTGCCCATAAAATGAAGCATATGCATTGGTATGCAACACAAGTATTATAAGTACAGAGCAAAATGAAAACTCAAACTGTGTTGAAAATACTAGGATTGATGCTTTTAACATTCTTATGCAAGGTGCAAATATAATAACAATGTAAAACATGAACTGAACCAAAAAAAAAGAAGTCGTTTAATGACTCTATTTAGGGGATGAGGAACAGAGGGTGTTTGCTGTTTGTCAACAAAAATCGACAGCCTTAGGATAATTCTAAGGGCTTGCTATAATACATTGTGTACGTTGGCCGACTTTTTGTACTGAATATATATGTTGAAGTTGTAAAATCAGGGATTTTGTAAAAACATTGAACTGATTAGTGATTTAATAAAATCCCTGATTTTGGCTAGGGATTTTACAAAATCACTGAAATAATTAAGATCTATTTACAGATTCCCTGATTATATTCAGGGAATTTGTAAAAATATTTTTTTTTCTATTAAACAAATTCTTTTTGAAAAAAAGCTTCAGCAGTTACACTCATCAAGTTTGAGGTTAATTTAGCCTTTTATATTGATACTAAGTGAGCAGTTTTCACTAAACAACTGCGTGGCAAACATCATTAGTGAGCTTAAAAATTCATGGCCGAAATGTAAAATTGTTCATGGTAAACCTCAACACCCCAAGCTAATGCTGATGTCAAGGATATGGTTATCACTTGATGTGAGATAACCATTGTAAAGACTGGCCTATTGGTCTCAAATTTAAGAAGAACAGAAGTCACCATTCAGGCATAAACAGAGCTCCATACAAAGCTATGTTTGGGGTAGATGCAAAAGTTGGGCTAACATCATCCTCACTCCCTGATGAACTTATAGCTAAAATTGACAGCGAAGAGCATTTGTCAGATTTAGAAAATATGGAGCTTAATATAAATACTGATGACAAAACACATTTACAACTGATGAAGAACAAATGAACATTTCTGAGCCCCCAACCTACTGAACCTAAAACTGATATGTGTGTTGTATGTCAAGCAACTGCATTGAATGCAACTTCGTGTTCTACTTGTAAATAAACTGCTTTGCTGAGTGCAGCTGGATACGCCAGCAGAGGTCCAACCCTGAACAGTTGGGGCAAAAATGGACACAATATTCAAGCTTGATACAGGTCTGAATTTGGATTGTAATTAAATATTTGACATGTTATAGGTTTCTGAATAAAATTTAGTCAAAGAACTTGAAATTGGTTATATGAATTGAATTTATATTCAATTAAAGATTACTTGCTGTTGTGCAATACACTGTGCTGTTGTGCAATACTTAGTAAATCTGTTGTCAGACTATAAATAAATAAAGTTCAATTTCTTCTCAATGTCATGTTTGAAATTTATGAAAATCAAAAGGAGATTACATCAATAGCTATAAATAATTCACCAAAGTTTCATGTGAACTGCTTAAAGCATTTTTGAGTTATTGTCCAAAAACTGGAAAATCCCCTCTTTTTTAATGAATAAAACCCCATAACTCAGAAATGTAAAATCTAAAATTTATAAAATTCTAAAGGGAGCTTACATCAACAGATATAAACAATTAACCAAAGTTTCATGAGAACTGCTGAAAGCATTTTTTAGTTATTGTCCGAAAACTGGAAAATCCCCCTTTTTTATGAATAAAACCCTGTAACTCATAAATGTAAAATCTAAAATTTATAAAAATCGAAAGGGAGCTCATGTCAATAGATATAAACAATTCACCAAAATTTCTTGCAAGTTTGTGAAAGCATTTTTTAGTTATTGTCCGAAAACTGGAAAATCACCCTTTTTTATGAATAAAACCCTGTAGCTCATTTTTATTCACCAGCATATTATGACGATAGGAATGCCCTTTACTGTCAGGCGTCAAATGGTCATTTTCGGCTACCGTTAGCATCAAATTGATTAAATTTTTACCATGATTCGTAAAAGGTCTCAAGTGTACATTTTATCGTCATGCACCAAAAATTACTGTTAACGTCATTTGGCAAGATTTTTTACCGTTATTAGTCATGAAGTTACCCCCATTATGACCCTCTATTATATATTATTATGCAGTTCTTTTCTTAATAAAATGTTGAATGTTTTAATCTAATCAATCATTGAAATCATGTTTAGTATTGTATGATTTTTCTTGTAGTGATAATAAAATTGTAATTATTCTGCATCATGAAGGCATTTTGATTAGTTTAATATCAAGATTATTGTATTGTATTGTTAGACTATTTACCAAATATGATGATCATATACTGATATAGATATGATATATCTGTGTCATTTTTAAGTGACATTGCTGTATATTTGAAAAAAATGTTTGTAAAAATTAATTCTTAATGGAAAACCTGCAAATCTGTACTAAGTTTTTTCTCTGGATGTCAATCTGCCGTTTTGAAAACTGAGCATAAATTTCCTCATTCATTTTGGGCATCCACCATTGTTTTGTCATGTGACCATGCACCTGACATGTCTAAATATAAACATTGTTATTTTTTTTAATTTTCTTCCCATTTGAATATCATTCAATTTGTCTGATGCACATATGTAGTATAATATTTAAGTAAAATGTAATACAAACCATTCAATATCTTTATGATTCTATTTAGTCATTGTAAGCCGATAAACGATTGACCTAATTTGTGACCTATATTCTAAAAATGAGCTGAGTGCGCACGTCCAGACTTATATTTGGGACACTGGCCAGAACTGCTGTAAATACAAGTGTAATTTCTTAGTAAACAGATTCAAATGGCTATACTTAAACTGAAAAGAATGAAAAAGAAAAAGCAGCCACTCATGTTTTAAGGTAAGACATAATATTTAAGTGTTTTAAAGGTGGATAAAGTTTTGTCCGAATGTCAGATGTTGTTTGTTCGTAATCGCCTTGTGCTTGTAGATGTCAACCACACTTTTCTTAGGTTCTATGGCTTTTAAACCAAATTCTGAAATGACAGAATTAAAGTTTAATGACTTATATAATGTAATTCTAAATATTATAAGAATTCTCACTAAATAAAGTGAATATTTAAGATTTTTATTCAGAACGGAAGTTGAAAATCAAACTTCCGGTTCATGCGAACGTATATTTGAGCAGACGAAAATCCACAAAATACTTCGTGCTGCACGTTTTTGTACACACATTAGAAGAAAGCATGATGCTTCTATTGTTTAGCTATTGTGCTGTACAAGATAATGCAAATGAAAAAAAGAGAAAAATTACTTTCAGAGTCATACAAACAGTGTGAAAATAGTTATTGTAGCCTTTCTGTCAGTATGTACATGTAAAAGTAAGACAATGCATGGGTCTGTTGGGTCACCCCTCTTTAGAATTTTAGGGAAAGTGAAGACCCAACAGGGATACTTTAAGGAGAATTGCATCATCCGCCATGACAACTGTTAAGGTGTTATTACCTTGCATTGTAGTCTGAATAATGAATGAATGAATTGAAACATACATTGTACTACATTTATCAAATTTTGCTGCATCTCAAAGCTTTATCAAACAGAAGTGTTTAGATTTGCTTAAAATTGTGCTTAATGACATAAAATACAGTCTTCGAATTTACCACAGGACCACCAGCCCCCTTGCCTGTGAAAATCTGTTTGGTTCTGTTGATTTTTGTGAATTTTGTATTACAATCTAAAGAAAAAGTAGAAGATTCATGGATTCAGTCCTGTAAAAGCCAAACTCCAATTTCTATGACTGTAAATAAAGCAAGAACCTTGGAACCCCCCCCTCAATTTTTCCAATTTTTTTCTTCTCTTAAATCCAGTTGTTTAGCTACTTTAAATATCTTGAATATAGATTTTCTCTCTTTCATTGCCAAGATCATTATAGATAGATACATGTATATTAATATTTTAAATAATTCTGAATTGAATTCAGAAAAAAAACCTGTTGTCACCTGTTGAAAACATCTATAATGAAATTTGGGTAATTTTCAAATCATGTTTGATTGTTTGCAGTATTTTATAGAAAAACCTCATTTTCATCAAGTAGAAGTTGAAAGTGCTTGTAAATGATTCTAAAAAGTGTTTTCACATATATGTGTGATAAAATTTAACTATTTTGTATACTGTGAAAGTACTTTTATTCGTGGGGTACCAGTTTTCGTGGAAGGCTTTATCCACGAATTTAAGTGTCCAACGAAATATAACAAATCAAGACATGGAAAGATCCCCTGTAGGTTAGACTATATTGATACGGGCATATAATCTAGATAAAACATCGAATATCAGCAAACGAAATATGAACTTCATGCAGTGGCGTAGCACAGTAGCATGTAAAACTTCAAACAGGATTTTAATCTTCAAGTAACCTAAGTTGTACGATATTTAACTTTTTAATTATCATGAAAAATAGTTTTGAAAGATGAAAGTCCAACTGCCGGTGAAGATATATGATAATGAAGTGTTCATTTTATCTCCTCATAATTCTCTCACGAAAAATAATATTAATTTCATTTTGGGCATGCTTTTTTATTTCATGAGTATTATTTCATAAGTTAGTATTATATGTTGATCATTCGATCTCGGGTTAATTAGTGTCACCACTTCTGATTACACGTGTTAAACAATTAAAATGGTTTTTTTTGCAATTTCCTTCAATGAGACAATTTGTATTCAGAGATGAATCAGCTTATTTCTGAAAGCAATTATTTTATTAAAAATCTAATGAATGTTGTCAGAAATGAAAGTGACAATGAACACCATATGATTATTTTCTAGAATCTTCGTTTCTGATGGGTTCCAATTCTTCACCCAAATTTTTTTTCCAGAAAACTAAAATCCACGAATTTAAGAACCCATGAACATGTACCGTTTAAAGGCTTGTATAGTCCACGGTTTTATTCTCCAAAATGGAACCTGCCAGACAGGGGTGCAGACTATAGAGTACAATAAGCAAGAAATAAGAGAAAAAATTCAATTTTGCGAGGTGATTTGTTTATGTTCCGCCATGTTTGTTATTGATATTGTAGAGGGCGCTCTTATCATTTTTCAAACTAATAATTTTACCTAATCCATATTAATAAGTTATTTTTATTCAATATTAGTACTGATAAATGTAAAAATTAAACGCTTCATTGCTTAAAATAAACTGGTATCTGCTTGAATTAAACGGTACAAAAAAGTAAAAAAGATAACCGTAAACCAGCTTATGATGTGTAAATTACAAAACGTAATCAGGTATTATTTGTTCCGTTTTGGTGTTTCATACCGACAAATATGTTTTGTATTAGCTTAAGACCCTTCAAACATGAATGTAATAGATATATTAAACACTGTTTTACACAAGGATGGAACTGTTTTACTTTCAAAGTCGTATTATAGTGATATCTATTATGTACGGATTTCGACTCTCACCGTTTTTTTTCTTCTTTTACTAGTGCTTTTCAAACTTCCGGTTTAAACATCCACAAGTTTCTAAATTGTTTTTTTTTGTGATTTAGACTTATTTTAACAACCGTGAAGTGTTCTAGAATCATTTACAAGCAGTTTCAGCTTCTGTTTGATGATGGAAAACAGGTTTTTCCAAGAAAATACTGCAAACGACCACACACGATTTGAAATTATCGGAGTTTCATTAGACCTTTTCTAACCGTTACAAAAAGTTTTTTTACCTGAAATTTCGTGGGGAGAATGGGGTGCAGACTATGTACCAGTGCGAACTATACAAGCCCGATTACGGTAACTTTTGCGCAATCCTCGAAAATTGATACCCACAAATAAAAGAATTTTCACAGTATGTGGAATAATTGTAAGGTGTACCTGCCCGTCTGACCAGGTTTATCTTACCTAGACCTTATTTTTATGTATTATAATTCATTGATAATGTTGTTTCTATTGTACCTTTATAAAACCTTAATCTTGATCGGCTAACAAAAAGTTTTGATTTTTAATCTATTTAGAAGTTTTTTGCACTTCCTTCTTTGTTTAAAATCCCCCAAAAATGCATGAGAATTTTTTTTGCATAGTAAATTCTGTTTTAATGCCCCACCATTATGTATTCTAGTCTGTGTCTCAGTCCTTTAGTTTGTTCTTTCGTCCTTCCTGTATCAGGTTAAAGATTTGATCTTAGTATTTTACCTATTTATTTAAGTGTCACTGATGAGCCTTTTGTAGATGAAATGCACGTCTGGCATACCAATTTATAAACCTGGTATCTTTGATGGGTTTTTTTTACTTTGAAATTTATCATCAAATGCTTTATTTACACACTTAGTACTGACACTGTTTTCGAAGACAATTCTTGATCCCTGCAAGGCCCATTCAAATGAGGTTTGAGTCCATATCTCTTTACTGTAAATGTACCTTTACCTGAGTATCTTTCTGTATCTTTCTGTATTTAATATATATGAGACTGTTGAATTTTTAAACTATATATATGTTGGAGATGATTTAGGAAGGGGGGCCTGGCCCCCTTACAGAGCTTCATATATGTATGATATATGCATAGACTTTTTACAAGTATCACTCCAAAAGTCGGCTTGCTAGGGGACCCCCTTTTTCAGAATCCTAGATCCACATCTGTATGTACATTGTATATGTGTAACTATACATAACTCTTTCTGGTAAAAAAAGATAAATATTATATATTTGTGGCCTTTTCCTTATTTTAGACTCCAGTGGTCAGACATGAGATAAACAGTGTGTTGTGTTTCCAGTTATTAAATCTGAAAACGGGTTGGTTTGTCAGATTTGTTTTATACAAATGTATTGTAAAAAAAGCTTATTTGATTTTCTGAATTCATAAATATTGAATATATAGTACATGTATATATGGTATGTACATGTAATCAAAATATTAGGAGCCTATTTTTATTTAGTCATTTAGTCTCTCTACCAGTAATGTTTTGTTTTTTTTGCTCTATTCAATCATTCTTTATGGTGATGATGATGGATGGGTGATTTACATCCAGTGGCATGTATTACATGCATATGGAATCTGATGTTCAGTAGTTGTCGTTTGTTGATGTGGTTCATAAGTGTTTCTCGTTTATCGTTTTTTTTTTATATAGATTAGACTGTTGGTTTTCCCGTTTGAATGGTTTTACACTAGTAATATTTGGGGCCCTTTATAGCTTTCTGTTCGATGTGAGCCAAGGCTCCGTGTTGAAGACCGTACTTTGACCTATAATGGTTTACTTTTATAAATTTTGACTTGGATCGAGAGTTGTCTCATTGGCACTCATACCACATCTTCTTATATCTATATATGGGGCCTAGAACATTTGATATGAATTTTGACCCTTCTTTCTACTACACCTGCGCCCTGAGCCATATTTATTGATGCTTCTGTTTTCTGTTAAGTTCACAAGGTGCCAGTCTGCAGGAAGATGTGTCTCCCTACACGGACACATTGTTCAGACTAAGCTGGACAATCTTTGGGTACTCAAAATGCTGTGTGTGAAGCAACAAATATAAATTTTCAAG